AACTGTCGACAAATGCCCGCCATGACATGGCGGGTTTTCAAATCTTTCATATGAACTAACGAAAATGACCTTTTAGCCATAGTACCCACCATGTAACATGGCGGCATGGCCCATGTGGCTTGGTCATGATGGGAACCAAGAAAAAAAAAAGAAACAGCAACACGGATCTTCGATTGTTGCTGAGAAACAGCAACACGAATGGTCGATTGTTGCTGAGAAACAGTAAGTATGCTTGGCCTAACAATTACCTCCATCGACATGTTTCGTGCTGCAGGAGCCCATTCCTCGACCAAACGTTTTTCCAATGCTTCATAATCAGCAGTGGGAGGGACTCTAATGTCAAAACCAGCTTCCGCCTCAGATGGTTGCAGATTCATGACAAAACCCTTCAAGGAGAAGGGCCAAATAAGCAGATACAGTCACAAAGATATCGCCATGCAAGTTATTTTTCAAAGCAATGGCCTTTCCTCATAGTTGATCATCATAATAGCAGAAATACTGATAACAAAGAAAGGACAGAGCTTACAGTTGGAGAAGGCGTGCCAGCCTTGAGGAAAGCCATATTGACGGAGACGACGTCGCCTTCACCTTTCAAGCCAGCCTTGAGCAGATCAAACTGGGAAGCTCTGAACCTCCTAATATTCTCAATGCTTTTCAGCAGATTCTCCATGGCCGAGTTATCATAGAGCTTAGCACCGTGACCAGGAGCGCCTTTGGCCTTTATCACCAGCCACCACGGGCTCCTTTCTCCGAAAAACACCCTGTAACTCTCAGTCGGTGATGGCAGACCTGATTTGTATCCAATCCAACGCATCAGCAAGTATTTCTGAATTCGCAACACCCAGCGTGTACTGAATCTTACCTTCGTCGAGCACAATTGCAACGTCCAAGCTCTTGAAGAACTGGGATTCCACAAACTTCTCGACGCCATCGTGGCCACCGATCTCTTCATCGGGAACAAAGGAGAGATAGATGGATCTATGGGGCTGGAACCCGGAAGCCTGGAGCTTGCGTATGGCCTCCAGATACTGCATCCCGACGCACTTCATGTCCTGAGAGCCTCTGGCGAAGATTTTACCATCGGGATCGACGTGACCGCTGAGGGGATGGTGGTTCCACTTGGATTCCTCAAAGGGAACCACATCGGTGTGGGAGTTGAGAAGAACGACGGGAAGAGTTGGATGCGAGCCGACCCATTTCAGGAGAAGAAGAGGCTTTCCTTTGACCAACTCGATCGTCTGAGATTCCAGAGAGAGGGATTTAGCCTGGGAGATGATGAACTCAACCGCTTTGTGATAATCGGGATTCGGCTGGACCGTGTTGACACGGAGATACTCCTGGAATCTAGAGACGATCGCCGGATCGTCTGCTTTGGCTGCAGATGCAGCGAACCATAGATGAAGGAGCAGGAGAAGGAGACTAGTGACGGCCATTGAAGAGCAAGATATCTTTCCACGGGACCCTCCCTCAGCATACTTATGCACTTGAGGCGATGGCAGTTCCGTTAATAAAGGGAACTTCAGGGTCTGAGAATGACGCCCTCCGAATATAGTACTCCGCTCCCTCCGTTCCCCGTTTTTTCTTTCCTCATCTCTCCCCATCACTCCATGCGTGTGCATATATGCGCGTACATCGAGAATGCCATATTTGGTGGAAAACGGAACGAAAGAGCCGTCAAGCTCAGTATGACGCAATATGAGCTCGACCCAGACACGAGGTGCTTTCCCCCTTAACAAGCATTTCTACAGCCACTCAAGTTCCCGTGGAGTTGTGTCTCTGTCATCTGTTTCGTTCTTACCAGTTTTCAGATATCAGATGTAAGCACTTACAGTACTGATTGATGCAGTTGTGCTTATTGACTATTACGCAGTTGTCGAAAGAAAAAGGAGACATGGGATGGGGTCTTCCCTCCAAAGATAGCATAAGGCAACTCCAGTGTCCGAAAATAGCCTGGAGAAACCCAAAAATAGACATCCAAAAACAGCTCACGTCTGTTTTCTCCTTCTCTCACGGTCCATATCTTTCTCTTCGTCTCCTTCCACCAAACGACCTTTTCCCTCGAACGAGTCATGTTTCATCTTTCTTTGTTTTCCAGCCATCCTGCAACCATCCTCTTCATGTCACGTTGATTAGAAGAAACAGAGCTCTGCACAATGGCTTCTCTTTCTTCCCAACCTTCCAAGAAGGTCCGCAACAACTCTGGGAGCGGCCAAACCGTGAAATTCGCGAGACGAACATCTAGTGGACGCTACGTGAGTTTATCGCGGGATGATATTGAATTATCAGGCGAATTCTCAGGAGACTATTCCAACTACACGGTGCACATACCTTCCACACCAGACAATCAACCCATGGCCACCAAAGCCGAAGAACAATACGTCTCCAATTCTCTTTTCACTGGGGGCTTCAACAGCATCACACGTGCCCATCTCATGGATAAGGTCATTGATTCTGATGTCACTCATCCTCAGATGGCCGGTGCTAAAGGCTCTTCCTGCGCCATGCCTGCCTGTGACGGCAAAGTTATGAAAGACGAGAGGGGCAAGGACATCATGCCTTGTGAATGCAGGTATTCAATCATATACATACACGTTTACTTGCTCTTTTTCTGAATTCGTGGTCTCTAAAGAACCGGTGTGGTGGCTGTTTTACAGGTTCAAGATCTGTAGGGACTGCTTTTTGGATGCCCAGAAAGAGACAGGTCTATGCCCCGGGTGCAAGGAACCTTACAAAGTCGGGGACTATGACGACGATGTGCCGGATTTCTCCAATGGGGCTCTGCCCTTGCCTGCTCCGGGGAAAGGTCACAACAACAACATGTCCATGATGAAGAGGAACCAAAACGGAGAATTCGATCACAACCGATGGCTGTTTGAGACGCAAGGTACATATGGGTACGGCAATGCGTACTGGCCACAAGATGATATGTACGGGGATGACATGGATGATGGGTTGAGAGGCGGCATGGTAGACTCGGCGGACAAGCCCTGGAGGCCCCTCAGTCGGCGGATCCCGATTCCCGCAGCTATCATAAGTCCTTACAGACTGCTCATAGCCGTGCGTCTCGTCGTCTTATGTTTTTTTCTGGCTTGGAGGATTCGTAACCCTAACGAGGAAGCCATCTGGTTGTGGCTTATGTCTGTCATCTGTGAGGTGTGGTTCGGGTTCTCATGGATTCTCGATCAGATCCCTAAGCTCTGTCCCATTAACCGTTCCACTGACCTCGAACTTCTCCATGACAAATTCGAGTTGCCCTCGCCGTCGAATCCTACCGGTCGTTCTGATCTCCCTGGCGTCGACCTCTTCGTGTCGACAGCGGATCCTGAGAAAGAGCCGCCCCTCGTCACAGCCAACACCATTCTATCCATACTAGCCGTTGATTATCCAGTGGAGAAGGTTGCTTGTTACGTCTCGGATGACGGTGGGGCGCTTCTCACCTTCGAAGCCATGGCAGAAGCTGCTAGCTTCGCGGATCTCTGGGTACCTTTCTGTCGGAAACACAACATCGAACCGCGAAACCCAGAATCCTACTTCAGCCTGAAGATAGACCCGACCAAGAACAAGTGCAGGTCGGATTTCGTCAAGGATAGGAGGAAGATGAAGAGAGAGTACGATGAGTTCAAGGTGCGCATCAATGGCTTACCGGATTCCATACGAAGACGATCGGATGCGTTCAACGCGAGGGAAGAGATGAAGGCACTGAAACACATGAGAGAGAGCGGAGCAGATCCTACAGAGCCTGTTAAAGTCCCGAAAGCAACATGGATGGCCGACGGAACTCACTGGCCAGGCACTTGGGCCACGCCAAGTCGCGAGCATTCGAAAAGCGATCACGCGGGGATTTTACAGGTGATGTTAAAGCCACCGAGCAGCGATCCCTTGATGGGGACTGCCGATGACAAGATCATTGAATTCTCCGATACAGACATCAGACTCCCCATGTTTGTATATATGTCCCGTGAAAAACGCCCTGGCTATGAACACAACAAGAAAGCTGGAGCTATGAACGCTCTTGTCAGAGCTTCTGCTATTCTCTCTAATGGTCCCTTCATTCTCAACCTCGACTGTGATCATTACATTTTCAACTGCAAAGCCATCAGGGAAGGCATGTGTTTCATGATGGATAGAGGCGGCGAAGACATTTGCTACATTCAATTCCCTCAGAGATTTGAAGGCATCGATCCTTCTGACAGATATGCTAACAACAACACTGTTTTCTTCGATGGCAACATGCGTGCCCTTGATGGTGTCCAGGTATGTATATACACATCTTTCATTATTCTCTTTCTGAATTTTTCCCAAATATGTATGTAAAATGTAAAGCAATGTCTGTTGAGACAGGGGCCGGTGTACGTAGGAACAGGGTGTATGTTCAGGCGGTTCGCTCTTTACGGATTCGACCCTCCAAATCCAGACAAACTACTAGAGAAGAAGGAATCGGAAACAGAGGCATTGACAACGAGCGACTTTGATCCTGATCTTGATGTCACTCAACTGCCTAAGCGCTTTGGCAACTCCACACTGCTAGCAGAGTCCATCCCTATCGCAGAGTTCCAAGGCCGACCCTTGGCCGACCACCCGGCCGTCAAGTATGGCCGCCCCCCAGGAGCCCTCAGGGTCCCGCGTGACCCTCTCGATGCCACCACCGTTGCTGAAGCCGTCTCAGTCATCTCTTGCTGGTACACTGTTGTAAATAACATTTTGTTATATATCTGATTCTTGATTTTGGATTTTTCTTACTTACTATTGGAACAGGTACGAGGATAAAACGGAGTGGGGAGATAGAGTGGGGTGGATTTACGGGTCTGTGACAGAGGACGTGGTGACCGGGTACCGCATGCACAATCGAGGCTGGCGTTCCATCTACTGCATCACAAAACGAGACTCATTCCGTGGGTCGGCCCCTATCAACCTCACGGACCGCCTTCACCAGGTGCTCAGGTGGGCCACGGGATCTGTTGAAATCTTCTTCTCCAGAAACAATGCCCTTCTCGCTTCCAAACGCCTCAAATTCCTTCAACGCCTCGCCTACCTCAACGTTGGCATCTATCCCTTCACCTCCATGTTTCTTATACTCTATTGCTTCCTCCCGGCGCTCTCACTTCTCTCGGGACAATTCATAGTGAGGACGCTGAGTATCTCATTCTTGGTATACCTTCTCATCATCACCATATGTCTCATCGGGCTGGCCATCCTAGAGGTGAAGTGGTCAGGCATTGGCCTCGAAGAGTGGTGGAGAAACGAGCAATGGTGGCTCATCTCAGGGACAAGTTCTCACCTTTACGCCGTGGTCCAGGGAATTCTCAAGGTGATTGCGGGGATCGAGATCTCATTCACATTGACATCAAAATCTACGGGAGACGAGAACGATGACATCTACGCGGATCTCTACATCGTCAAGTGGACATCGCTGATGATACCACCCATCGTGATAGCCATGGTTAACATAATAGCGATTGTGGTGGCATTCATCAGGACGATATACCAAACGATCCCACAGTGGAGCAAGTTCATTGGAGGAGCGTTTTTCAGCTTCTGGGTTTTGGCACATTTGTATCCCTTCGCTAAAGGGTTGATGGGAAAGAGACGGAAGACTCCTACCATAGTGTTTGTATGGGCAGGCCTCATCGCCATCACCATTTCTCTGCTTTGGACTGCTATCAATCCAGCCACGGCCCCTGCCGCTGCGGCCGACGGTGTTGGTGGTGGCGGCGGCGGCGGCTTTCAGTTCCCTTAAGGTCTACGGTGGCTCTTTTTGCTTTCTTGGATGATTTTTTCTTTCTTTTGAGTGTGTTTTGTGCGTGTGTAAACTTTAATAGCAACAATATACCTCTTTTTAGCATTCTTCTTCCCTCTCTATCTCTCTAGAGATCACAAAAATAGTGCGAATGATTTCCCCAGACTCGAATTCTATATCGACTGTGATGATATCGTTTATATCGGTGAGAACGATACGTTTAAGTAAACTTTATATTTGTGGAACTGAAGAAAAACATTGTCCATAACATAGAATACTATACCTAGTGATGTCAAACGGGCCGAGTCGACTCGCGAAACAAATAAAAATAAAAAATATTAAAATAATAATTAAAAATAATTATTAATATATTTAAAAATAATAAAAATTATTTAAAATTGATAAATATTTTTTAAAATTATTAAAAAACTATTAAAAAGTAAAATAATTTTTTTTCTGGTTCGCGAACCAACTCGTGGGCTTACCGAGCTCGCTCGGATGAATTCAGCTCATGACGAGCTGGCTCGTTCGGTCTTTTTTTATTCAGACTTAAATTTTCTTGATCTAGATCGGAACAATATGGATCGGGTCGTGAAGCACCTCGCGAACTAAGTTCATTTTGACATCCTACTTACTACTAGCATGGAGTAAAATGATATGACGGATTAGGGCTGTGCATGGATCGAGTACCCGCGATTTTGGAAATATTCATCTTCGTCTTCGTCTTCGCGGGTTTCATGAAAACAATGTCTCATTCTCTATCTCATTAACATCGGGTACCTGTCGATCGGGTACTCGTAATTAAGAGACGGGTATCCACGGATATCCGTACCCATAAAATAGAAGAAGACTTAGAAAGAACAAATAAGTTTGAAGTATACTTAGGCAGTTCCTTCGCTGAGCACAAGAGAATGAAGAGGAATTTGTTTAAATCCCTATTCTTATCGAAGAGAAGGAAGGAGAAAAATCGAAATCTTCCTACTCGAACAATCAGTCCTATAGTTTATAACTCTTCTTTATCTTTATATAGTAATTTGACCTATTGCTTCGCATCCCCCCATCAGTTTACTATGAAGAGAAGAATCAAAAGGATCGAACTACCTACACATTATTCGGAGGTGAATCATAGAACACCAAAAGCTGTGGTATCTTACAGACCTAACATAGGTCATATCCCTCACGACATAAGATTGAAAGATCCAAACCTTCCTCTTCGTAGCAGAAACGGACGTGGCCAAAACATATAAAGATCGGCGTAGTCACTCATAGGGACATCTCTATCCGTATAGAGGATAGTCTAGATCGATTCATAGATGGATAGAAATCCATCTAGATAGGTATCCCATAGATATAGATAAGAATAGGGATCCATCTAGATCTTGATTCACTATTTTCATTTCTTTTTTTTTACTTAGTCTTATTAATTGGGGTTCGGGGAGCATGCCCGGCATAAGAAAGGCCGTCGCCCCTTCTTCGACGGGGATGGGCGGATAAAATCGGGTTCTTTGAATATGCATAGATTTTTAAAAGTTTTTAAAATGTATATGTTAATTTTTAAAAGTTAAAATCTAATATTTAAATAAATAATTAAAAAAATATAGGAATATTTGATATTTTTATATATTTACAGGTATTCACGGGTATCCGTCTTCGTAAAAATGAAATCCGTAACTATTTTTGTTGTCATTTTTATGTATCCGTCTTCGTATTTATTTAGAAGCGAGTATCCGTTTTTTGGGTATTCACGAGACAGATACCCACGAACCCGCGGTAACGGGTATAAATGACCCCCTATGACGGATGTAAATCGAAGGGCTTCGGTTATAGTATCAAAATATCATGTTCCCGAGTAGTTGGGCCAAGGGCTGGGCCGACACAGATGAGCGCATACAGGATCCGACGGTTGGTAGATGCCGAGAGATCCAAAAGGCCAAGAGAAACACAGCGCCGTCCCGTAGCCCCTCCACGCATTGCCGCCGACGACCAGCACGACGTCGACGACTCTCTCTCTCTCTCTCTCTCAGAGCGCCTTCTTCTTCCATTTCTAGTTTCGTCCCTCATTTGTCTTCGCCACTTAAACTTCCGCCTTTTGCCTCATTCCAACCCTAGGCACTTCTTCTGCGTTTCTGGGTTTCTTCTGATCATTCACTCCCAATTTCCGAAGGCGTGCTCTTATTTCGCTGAACGTCGTCGTCGGAGAACCACGGGGAAGAAAGATTCATGACAATCGTCGAGGTCCTCCTTTTCTGCCTTCCATAATCCCCTTTCGGTTGAAAGTTTGCTGTTTTGGTAGCCTTTTCCCTTGGTCGTCTAGTCTAATTTCGTCCTCTATCACTTTGGAAGACGTGGGTATGGATAATGAAGTGCTAGAATTCGATATAGGTGTGGGAGTTAGTAGTGGAGGAGATGTTGATGACGACGCTATCGATATTGAACACCATGCTATCGATGAGGATGATATGATTGATAGCCCAATTGCTGGAATTTCCGTTGGAAATGCTGGATTTAGTGCTAATGGGGTTGAAGGTGGTGGAAATTACTTCCCTGAGAGAGAGCTTCTGGATCTTGAGCCTTACGAGGGTATGGAGTTTGAGTCGGAAGAGGCTGCTAAGGCCTTCTACAATTCATATGCCCGACGGGTTGGCTTTAGCACCCGTGTTAGTTCCTCGCGGCGGTCCAGGCGAGATGGAGCTATTATACAGAGGCAATTTGTGTGTGCCAAAGAAGGTTTCAGGAATATGAATGAAAAGCGCACCAAGGATAGGGAGATCAAGCGGCCCAGGACAATTACCAGAGTAGGATGCAAAGCCTCCTTGTCTGTGAAGATGCATGATTCCGGTAAATGGGTTGTATCTGGCTTTGTAAAAGAGCACAATCATGAGTTGGTTCCTCCCGATCAGGTTCATTGTCTCCGCTCGCACAGGCAAATATCTGGTCCTGCTAAGACCTTGATAGATACATTGCAAGCTGCAGGGATGGGCCCCCGCAGGATAATGTCAGCTCTGATAAAAGAATATGGTGGCATCAGCAAGGTTGGCTTCACCGAGGTGGACTGTAGGAATTATATGCGGAACAACCGACAGAAGAGCATAGAAGGAGAGATACAACTTCTTCTGGACTATCTGAGGCAGATGAATGCTGAGAACTCGAGCTTCTTTTATGCTGTACAGGGAAGCGAAGATCAGTCTGTGGGTAATGTGTTCTGGGCTGATCCAAAAGCTAGAAAGGATTTCACTCACTTTGGAGATACTGTTACTTTTGACACAACCTACAGGTCCAACAGGTATCGCTTACCTTTTGCACCGTTCACTGGTGTAAACCACCATGGGCAACCTGTTCTCTTTGGCTGTGCATTTCTGATAAATGAAAATGAGGCTTCATTTGTATGGCTTTTCAATACGTGGCATAAAGCAATGTCTGCCCGTGCTCCTGTGTCGATCACCACTGACCATGATGCTGTTATAAGCGCAGCCATCATGCAGGTTTTTCCAGAGACCCGACAAAGGTTTTGCAAATGGCATATCTTCAAAAAATGCCAAGAAAAGCTGTTGCATGTTTTCCTCAAGCATCCTACTTTTGAGGCGGACTTCCACAAATGTGTCAATTTAACTGAATCGATCGAGGATTTTGAGTCATGTTGGTTGTCGCTTCTTGACAAATACGAGCTAAGAGATAATGATTGGCTACAAGCAATATACTCTGATCGTCGGCAGTGGGTCCCAGTATACATCCGTGACACCTTTTTTGCTGAAATGTCCACAACTCAGCGCAGTGACAGTATGAATTCATATTTTGATGGTTATGTAAACGCCTCAACCAATCTGAGTCAGTTCTTCAAGCTGTATGAAAAAGCTTTAGAGAGTCGGCGTGAGAAAGAAGTTAAAGCAGATTATGATACAATGAACTCACCCCCTGTTCTGAAGACTCCATCTCCGATGGAGAAGCAGGCGTCAGATCTTTACACTAGAAAGTTGTTCATGAGATTTCAGGAGGAATTAGTTGGAACTTTAACTTTCATGGCATCTAGAGCGGGTGATGATGGGGATGTCATTACCTATCAGGTGGCAAAGTATGGAGAGGATCACAGGGCTCATTTCGTCAAGTTCAATGTTTTGGAGATGAGAGCAAATTGCAGTTGTCAGATGTTTGAGTTCTCAGGCATCATTTGCAGACATATATTGGCAGTCTTCAGGGTCACAAATGTCCTCACACTTCCACCTCATTATATCCTCAAAAGATGGACCAGAAATGCCAAGAGCAGTGTCATATTTGATGATTATGGTTCTCATGCATTTGCCAATTATTTGGAGTCCCATACTGTCCGTTATAATACCTTACGCCATAAAGCTTTGCAGTTTGTAGAAGACGCTGCTAACTCTGTTTATACTTGCGATGCTGCGGTTGTCGCTTTGCAAGAAGCTGCCACGACTGTTGCCTTAGCCATGAAAAATGAAGGTAGAAAAACTATTACAAACGGGCATATTGTGGAAAGATTAGTAGCCGACAGAAACCAAGCAGACAACCATGGTGACCATCAAATGTCTGAGCAATCTGAATCTGAGGTCAGAACCGTTCGTTCTGTCAATATGACCGAAATTTGATAAAACATGAATATTTCTTTTCAACTTATTCTTTGATTGTGTTTTCACCTTAATATGCCTGGCTGTTTTCCCTTTTTTCATTGTTAAGTTGAGCTCAATTCTGCTCTATCCTGAAGCAATATTCATCTTACTTTGATGCTACCATGAAGGCACTGCTATTTGTGGCTCAAATTATATCCTCGTGATACGGCTAGCGATGTCGTACTTCACATGATAAGCAGGACATTTATGATTTGAATGTGGACTCTCACTGTACAAAGCGATTTTATTGTTTCCGCTTCAATTTGTTTACGTTAAATCGGATGCTCGTATTTAGTATCCACATCATTGAGTGATTGATATGCGGTATTTACCTTATTTTGTAGGATGATGCGGACAAGAAGATACAGCAACTCAGAAACGAGCTGGAGTTAGCAACCCGGAAATGCGAAGCTTACAGGGCTAACCTACTTTCAGTCTTGAAAGACATGGAAGATCACAAGATACAATTATCCATCAAGGTGCAAAACATAAAAATTAGCTTGAAGGATAGTCTCTGAGTACATCCTCAGCATCCCCTGCCTTGCTTCTAGTACCAATAGCTTATAGCTTACAGTGTATATTTTGTCGTTTTTACACTTCAACATACCCCTGTTTCAGTAGGGTAGGTAGCCTTCCTTACAGATGTTGTATTCACATTTCTTACGTATTTTGAGTAAAGCTCGTGGTTCGTTATCGGCCATGGCGCCGCCATGGTTCTATGGCGTGGCCCTTTTTTGTGATTCCGCCACATATGCCATATATCCAAGCGGGAATGGCGTTTTCGCCATTGCCCCCATTATGGCGTCAAATTGTATGGCGTTGTGGCGGGCCATGTGGCGAAGACCAATAAAAAAGGAAAACAATTTAACCAAATCGGCAGAATTGGAAATGTTTCCAAATGAAAAAAGGAAAATTGCCAAAACAGAAAAATAAAAACTTTGCAAAAAAAGGAGAATGCAGAGTTTCTACAACGTTCTAATGTATATTCAATGACAAGTTTCTATCACTCTTTTGTTATTTATTTTTTTATGAACATCTTTCTACCACTTAGCATATGTTACATGTATATATATATATATATAGGTTATAGGATCGTTCATATTTATCTTCAAGTGTTCATGTTCATATTTTTTTAGACACATAATGTTATATTATAATGATGATATATAATTTTAGACATATAATTTTATGTTATGATGATGATTTATTTTGTTTATCCTTATAAATATGATATAGTTTTTGAACCGCCATAAATCGCCATGGCGTCCGCCATATATTCATGGCCTATATTTTGTTTGACGCCGTGGACCGCCATACGCTATTGATAACACTGCGTTCCATAGATTCTCGTTGATCCGAGCTATAACGTGTTTGAACTGTGCCGTGACGTATGATATCCACCCCGTTGTGCTGGCTCTCTCAAGCTTAGTGTCACGACCCACACATGCGTCTGTGCCGTGAAGATCCGAGGAAAAACATCCATGTATCGATTGATCCATGTTCGAGCGTACCCTGTTAATCCGATGGATTGACTGAGAGAATTATCCGATCAAGAGGCGATTACTTGTTGGTAACATCTCCGAGCAACTCAGCGTGGTTTTTCAGGACATTGAAGTGCGATTTTTAGATAGTGAAACAAGTTACCGTCTACCATGGGCTCGGGTTCATAATAAACATCTCATTTGGTCGTACACTGAAAACTTTGATAACACTCAAGAGCACTCTAATCCTCCTCCGAAGATACGTCGAACAACTCCAAAGAAGACCACAAGATCGCTCGAATGGCCTCCTCCATCGTCGATGAACCTTTCTTCTTTAAAAAAAAACATGATTTACTTCTCTGTTAACAACCTAAAAACGAATGACCCAACCTGGATAGTTCAACCGGTGAAACGGGGCGCAAAACGTCTGTCCCGCCCCGAGTTCGAACCCCAAACTGGGGAGGGAACACATAATTCAAATCACATGGTTGGCTTCGGCCCCGGGATCAGTCTGGGCCTCGGCCCAGGAAACCCGGTTACCCAAAAAAAACTAAAAACTAATGGAGTTGATTATGAATCATTAGGTCCGTTATGTGCATCGTTGGGCTTAATGGGCCGCATCCCCATTTTGCGGACCCACAAGCCAATGTCGGCAACTGCATTAACCGAGCGGCACATAGATTAATTCTTCTTCATCTCTCGTATCATAAACCCTTTCGTGTAATTGTGAGGAAGAATGTAGGGGGTGGGCGTTTCGGATTCCGGTTCGGTATTCAAACGGTTCGGTTCGAAAATGGTATTTTCGGTTTTATAAAAAGTATACCAAACTAGAATTCAATGTTAACCGGTTCGATTCGGTTCGGTTTTAGTATCAGTTCGGTTCGGAATGATACCATTATATCAATACCAAATAAGTATCAAACTGTAATATTTACATATATAGTGGAAGATTCGAATTTTGGTTCGGTACTCATACGGTTCGGTTCGGGAATGATTCATCCGGTTCCATAAAAAGTGTATCAAATTAGAACCAAATGATATTCGGTTCGGTTCGGTTCAGTTCGGTTTCGAATTAGATCGGATCGGAACTAAATTCCCGAACCGAAGTGTCCACCCCTAAAAAGAATCTGAAGAAAGGGGAGATGCAGGATTCCACATCCAAGACAGAAGGAGTAGGAGGCGGCAAGGCGTGAAGTATTAACGGTTTACCAGAAGAATACATTACCGATACCGACACTGGTTCTCGTTGCTGTAGTGTGTGTCGGTTATTTTAATATAGCCCAAGTATGGGTGTGTTGCCATATCAGCCATGTTGTCTTTGTGGTTAGGAAGTGTCCTTTCTCATAGGTGAGGCATCAGAGAATTTGTAAAATAACTGGGTTTTGGGAGAGTTTAACTCTCAAGGTTGACAAATCGGTGTTTTTTTTTTAGTAATCGGATATCCTGGGTCGAAGTCCAAATTAATTCCGGGACCGATAGTAAGTCATGTGACAAATCGGTGTTTGTTACATAAATCTCTCATGGTTCCTATCAATCTCGTCGTCTCGTGAGTGATCTTAGTTCAAAGATTTGATCTGAGCGCGAAACCATGGGTCAACAACTACCCGTGCTCGGCCGTTTCCTCACATGGTGATGTTCTTATTCACATGCATGCTCACGCATACGAACTAACTCGCTCTCTGCCTCCACCATGTTGGCTTGTCTTTTATGGTGTGACTTCTCTCTCCTGTCCCCTCCACAAAAGGAAAACATATTAAAAGACAAAGATGATTTTCTTACATAAAATGATGTTACATGGATGCTTACAAAGACCAACACAAATTTATTAAAAATACTATAACCTAAAACTCGAAAACACTTTTTAGTTAGCTTGTTCCGAAAACATGATGTGTATCGAAAACACAAAGATAATTAAATTCAAACCAACCTATGTCATGTAATTATAAAAGTAAATCTGTCTACTAATCTTATAAATTTAAGTTATAAAAATGTTAAAACGAGACTCATTTACCCACACTTCTATCGCGGACCCATAATTTCTCAAGCCAATTAACAACATCAGTTTCGAGTTGCCAATATATTTTTGATAACCGAGATGTTTTGTGTCGAAGTTCAGATTAATTCAGATATCGATAACAATTCATGTGATTGAAATTACGCTTATCTCCTCAATTGAGATTCGAATTCAGGATGGAACAAACGATTTGCGTCATCGATTTACCGATTGAACTTTGGAGCTGCTAATATTGATATGGTCAATTAATGGCCTAAGGGCGGCAGGATTGCATGCAGATTATATTGACAGTTATCACGGAAAATTTCTCTCTTAACTAACAAATCCATTGTATGGGATACTTGGTATTTTGAAGCGAGCATCGTCCCCGTGAGTTTTAGATAAATTTCCAGGCTTATTGGGAATACAACTACCTCATGCATAGAATCGTAACGTATCCGGGGAAAAAAAATCCCATATCAAGATCTAAATGGGTGTGGAAACGAGAAAGAGGGAAAGGACAAAAGTAAGCTGCCTAATAAAGTAGCCTCTTTTACTTTTGCCGCGATTAAAGAGGGAGAGGGGAGGCAGATGCAGAGATTGGCATTTTTGGGATGTGAGAGACTCCGGTCTCGGTTCCTTCACAGATGACATTCCTTGTGTTGTCGGTGGCCCTTCTCGTTCTCTCTTGCTCTCTGGCTCTCGCTCAAGATGCCCCCGCTGCTCAAGATCCTCTCAAGCTCATTCTAGGTTTCCTGCCCCCCTGCTCTGTTTTCACACTGCTTCTCCTTTCCTTCAAGCTCGTCTATTTGTTTGCCTCTAAGTTCAAAGCCCGTTACTTTTTTGTTTTGGTTTCTTGCGGTTTCTGCCTCTGGGTTTCACACCGATTTCTTTGTTTCTTCCCTCTTCAGCATGACCCAGAAATCGGAATCTTTGATTGTTCACGACCCTCTGTTGGTTCATCTCTGCCGCGATGGATTTGTTTCCTGATTGTTTTATCCCATCTTTACCATCCAGGTTCAAATGATTTTGGGTCATGGAGAGATGCGATATCGGCGGAGTCTGTAGCACCAGGGCCTTCGGTGGGTGGAGAGTATGGAAGGCTCGTGTTGGCAGCTGATAGAACGAAAAGACCCGATCTTCTTAGGGGTTTTAGACCTTATCGAGGCGGTTGGAATATCACTAGCAATCACTACTGGGCAGTAAGTCCATCTCCGTCAATCGCTCGAATGATCGATCATCTCACTTGGCAGCTGTCATTAACTCAACTCTTTGCATGAACTGCCCATCTCCAGTCTGTTGGATTTACAGGAGCTGCTGGTTTCGTTCTTGCTTTTCTTTGGCTTGTGTCTTTCGGCTCTCTTCTTGCTATTCATCATTGCTGCAAATGGAGAGAGCGCGACAAATCCAAAGGATCGTTCCCTTCAAGAAGAATCTGTCTCATCTTGTTGATAGTTTTCACATGTGCTGCCGCGTAATAGTCTTGACACTTCCTAAGTTAAATTTGCGTTTCCTTTGCTCCGTTGTTCTTATGATGATCATGATCTGTCTCCAGGGTCGGATGCATTCTTCTTTCTGTTGGGCAGGATAAATTCCACGGTCAAGCTTTACGTACTCTGAAGTATGTGGTAAACCGATCGGACTACACCGTTCAAACCCTGAAGAATGTGACGGCATATCTCTCTCTCGCAAAAACTATTAACGTCACCGAGGTTTTCCTCCCGTCCGATCTGTTGGGTGAGATTGACAAGTTGAATATCAATCTGATTGCTGCTGCAGAGACCATCGAAGCGAAAACAACTAAAAATGCAGCCAAAGTAAAAGGAGTTTTCCAGGCTGTGTATGCTGCTTATTGCCTTTGTGCGATTAACTGAATGTTGACACAGCTACCATTGCTTGAACAATATGTGACGCATTTTCTCTGCACACGTAATTTCAGGCGATCGTCTTTGATAAGTGTGGCTACTGTGATGCTCATTCTCTCGGTGCTTGGTCTTTGTAGGTTCAGTTGATATCCATCCGTCTAAATCTTCTCTTTCTCTCTACTGTGGCATCTGACTTATTGTTATCTGTTCCTTGCTTTGTTACAGTGCTTTCTATCCTTCGCCATCAACACGTGGTTCACGCGTGAGTCCTTTAATATGTGTTTTCTGTTTCTGATTGTGGTAGTTAGATATGTGTGCAGCTGATGTATGGATTCCCTGTGACAGATTTGTTGCTAGCGGGTGGATTTTGGTGGCCATGACGTTCATTCTTTGCGGGGTCTTTCTTATCATCAATAAGTAAGTTGTTGCTGCTGCTTTCCCATAACACAAAAACCCTCCTGGCAGATGTAGTGACATGATAGTTTTTCGGGTCTCCAGTGCAATTTCAGATACGTGTGTGGCCATGAAAGAATGGGTTGATCATCCTCATGCAGAAACAGCTCTCAGCAGCATCCTTCCCTGTGTTGATCAGAAAACAACGAACCAGACTCTGAACCAGAGTAAAGTTGTCATCAACGGCATTGTGACTGTTGTAAACACCTTTGTCTATGCGTATGCCAATACGAATCCATCTCCTGGCCAAGATCACTATTACAATCAGTCCGGACCTCCAATGCCTCCTCTATGCAATCCGTTTGGTACAAACATGGAAAACCGTCAATGCGGGCCGCAGGAAGTATCTATAGCAAACGCGTCATTGGTATGCCCCCTACAACTTATTTGTTAGTTAAAGAACCATTTACTTTTCGTAGGTGTCAGGAATTGGCAAGAGGTTTAAAGAGATACCTCATTGCTTTGGTTCCTTCGTTTTCAGGTCTGGAAGAACTACACATGCAAGATATCACATTCTGGAATCTGCACAACGATGGGGAGGGTGACACCCGATACCTATGCACAGCTGGTAGCAGCTGTGAATGAGAGTTACGCTCTGGAGCACTACACCCCGCCGTTGCTCAGCCTTCAAGATTGCAACTTCGTGAGGGAAACGTTTGAGAACATCACGTCAGATCACTGCGGGTCCTTGGAGCGTAATCTGAAGATAGTCAATGCAGGGCTGGGTTTGATCTCTGTGGGAGTGTTGCTGTGCCTTGTGTTGTGGATAGTTTATGCAAACCGCCCCCAAAGGGAGGAAGTGTTTGCGGATCCACAGACACACACGAAAAGGGACAATGGCGATGAGCAAGATAAGCAGCCAGGTGGTGAGATGAAGCTTTTCAGTCGGGTATAGATGGATATTGAGGGAAGCGGGGAAAGGATATATAAAGCCACGGCATGTAATCTTTGGTGTAGCTCATAGCGGCCGTCCGCAGGTGTGGAGCGAAGTTCCATGTCCGCGTGCGTTTCGAACGGACGCTGCATTCCTTTTGATTCTCTATGCCCCTTTGTCATATCGCATGGATGGTGGTGTACAAGTATCCAAGATTTTAAATGTTATGCTATTCAGAAATTATAATTATTGGAGAGGAAGGTAAAAACCTATAGAGCTCCATACTCAAAAGGTATACGCATACATTTTAATTAGCCCAAGCTTGTTACACAATAATAAAATTTTTATCAGTTGGTTTTTATTCACGAGTTTTTTTTTTTTGGTAATGGGGTGTCCTGAGTCGAGGTCCAGATTAATCTCAGAGTTTTTCTTCTCAATTTTAGGCTCGAACTCAGGTAGGTTGACCTATCCAAATTGAATATTCAAGAGTTTATTTCATTGTATCATAGAAACATTTTATTGTCTTTACTTGGGATTTGGTTTTTAATAAAAAAAATGAGAGTTTGATAAGTTTTTCTAAAGAAAGAATTCATAAAACCATAGTTTTAATCAATTTAGATATAAAAACTTTAAAAGAGTAATAAAATTTTAATTGGTTAATAGCATTTTAGAACCTTTACTTCCCTACATCTTGTTGATAGTTTTCACATGTGCTGCCGCGTAATAGTCTTGACACTTCCTAAGTTAAATTTGCGTTTCCTTTGCTCCGTTGTTCTTATGATGATCATGATCTGTCTCCAGGGTCGGATGCATTCTTCTTTCTGTTGGGCAGGATAAATTCCACGGTCAAGCTTTACGTACTCTGAAGTATGTGGTAAACCGATCGGACTACACCGTTCAAACCCTGAAGAATGTGACGGCATATCTCTCTCTCGCAAAAACTATTAACGTCACCGAGGTTTTCCTCCCGTCCGATCTGTTGGGTGAGATTGACAAGTTGAATATCAATCTGATTGCTGCTGCAGAGACCATCGAAGCGAAAACAACTAAAAATGCAGCCAAAGTAAAAGGAGTTTTCCAGGCTGTGTATGCTGCTTATTGCCTTTGTGCGATTAACTGAATGTTGACACAGCTACCATTGCTTGAACAATATGTGACGCATTTTCTCTGCACACGTAATTTCAGGCGATCGTCTTTGATAAGAGCTTTCTAAATAATCCACACCTTCCAATTGTGTGTAACCCTTTGCCACTCTACACACATTAGCTTCACCAGTATCATAATACTATAAAAATTTCATAAATATATCAATTTGTTCAAATCTGATCAATAAATATATAAACTTTTTATTTTTTAGAAAAATACACTAATTGGTAATTTTCTCATAAATTCTTATACGAACTCTAACGACATTTTAACTAAATAACGTTTTTAATGAACCGTGTTAATGCACCATATTCTAACGACTCATTGGATTTTGCATATTAACACCACGTGACAGTTTTTTCTAGATCAAATAAAATAAAAATAAAAAATAAATTTAAAAATAAATATAATAAAATAAAAAATAAAAAATGAAATTATATAATAAAAAAATAAAAATATGCATATATTGTACATACATCTCAATACATATACACGGCTTCCATGCAGTCACGCACCGTTCAGCATGTATAAATATCAACTCCATTAAAGTCGTTACCATCTCTTAGTTAGTCGTGGCCATTTCGGATTTGGTTCGAATTCGGGTCAATTATATTCAGATTTATTTATTTTGTTTATAGAAAATTTTAGTTTTTATATAAACTTCGATTCGGTTTTGATTATTTTTCGATTTGATTCGGTTTATAAAAATTATAACCATTCGGACTTTCTAAACCAACAAACCTCTCCATACGGGTCTGTGGATTCGAAATTTGGGTATTGATATTTTTCTTAGAATTGATGATTTGGTTTGCCAGGTTTACCGTCTTGCCCTAGGGCTGTGAGGTTCTGACCCAAAAGGCAATAGTGTGGGTTATGTATTCGGTTCGGTTGGGTTAATAAGCAAAATGACCACCCTACTCCTAGTCACGCTATCGAGTTTTCCTCTTATGGAAACCAGAAATAGAAATGGAAACTTTGCTGAAAAAATTCTTCTTTCTCGATTGATTATTAAGCGTCTCCTTTACATCATTTATATACAGATAAAAAGGAATCTAATGCAAAACTAATTTACAACAACCTAACAAATTCGAAACAAATTGACAGGTGTCGAAGCTACAGATGACCAAATTAAAACAGCTAAACCAGAATTGGTTTTGATAACCAAAGCTGAAATAACCGAGATAACCGAGCCATTTGGTATGTAAACTCTAAGACTTCCCCTCAAGATGGAGAATACAAGTCTCGTATTCTCATCTTGAAGGTTAATCTACGAAGATGATCAACCGCAACAGACTTGGTCAAGATGTCTGCCAACTGTTCAGAAGCCGAGATGTGAAAGGGCTTGATAAATCCTGATTTAATCTGTTGCCGGACAAAATGACAATCTAATTCAACATGCTTCGTACGCTCATGGAAAACGGGGTTATGAGCAATGTGAACAGCCGAGAGATTATCACAAAATAGAGAAACAGGCTGCAAGATCACAATACCAAGCTCTTGTAACAAAGATTGCACCCAAACTAACTCGCATGAAGTTTGAGTCATTGCTCTATATTCTGATTCAACACTGCTCCGGGATATAGTCTGCTGCTTTTTTGATTTCCATGAAATTCAATGATTTCCAAAGAATACGCAAAAGCCCGTCACGGAACGCCGAGAGTCGTGGCACGAAGCCCAATCGGCATCAGTGTAAGCACTAAGCTTACTGTCTGATGAAGCAACATAGAACAACCCCTGAGCAGGATTTTGTTTCAGATATCGAAGGACACGAAACCCTGCCTGAAGGTGAGATATCTGAGGGGCTGACATATACTGACTTAGCTTTGTAACAGAAAAGCTAATGTCTGGTCTGGTTAGGGCAAGATAAATAAGCTTGCCAATGAGTTTTCGATATAACAGAGGGTCATCAAGTAACTCACCAGAATCCTGTCCAAGTTTCTCCCGGGTATCCATGGGAGAAGCAACTGGTTTGCAGCCAAGCATCTCGAACTCCTCAAGCAACTCCAATGTGTATTTACGCTGACAAATAGCTATTCCCTGCTTCGACCTAGCAATCTCCAGACCAAGAAAATAGTGTAGCACACCCAGATCTTTAATCTGGAACTCAGAATTCAAAGTCGATTTCAAGGTTGTAATCATGGCTGAATTATTTTCTGTGATTAATAGGTCATCAACATATATAAGGACAACCACAAGATCAGAACCAACCCTCTTGATGAACAATTAATTATCAGACTGAGCCTGTGAATAGCCAGCATCAAGAAGAACGCGAGACAATTTCTGATTCCATTGTCTCGAGGCTTGCTTTAAGCCATATAACGATCTGTGCAGTCGACAAACATCATTAGAAGAGACCTTCTCCCCCTTAAGATCAGAATATCCAGGTGGGAGTTTCATATAAATCTCCTCATCCAAATCTCCATTGAGAAAAGCATTACTAACATTCATTTGGCTTAATAACCAATTGTATTTCGCAGCTAAAGCAAGCAATAATCTGACAGTAGCCATTTTAGCTACAGGGCTAAAGGTTTCTAAATAATCCACACCTTCCAATTGTGTGTAACCCTTTGCCACTAACCTCGCCTTGTGTCTTTCAATAGAACCATCTGCATTATATTTGGTTTTAAAAACCCATCGACAACCCACAACATGCTTCCCCTCGGGTAAAGAACAGATAGACCAGGTGTTTGTTTTAGTTAGAGCATCTAGCTCAAGCATCATTGCCTCTTTCCACTTATCAAATTTTGCTGCCTGGGTATAGGATTGTGGTTTGGGTTCGGTAGTAATAGTAAGGGCAAAGGTTTTATATGCTGGAGATAGATTATCATAAGACAAAAAGGTAGATAAAGGGTATGAAGTAGCAGGGGTGGGTGGTGGAGGTGAATCATGATGAAGAATATAACAATGATAATCAGAAAGGTAAGCAGGAGTTTTACAATGTCGTTGTGGTATGAGAATTGCAGCTGAAGATGTTGGATTGACAGCAGGAGTATATGTATCCGGAGATGACAATGAGACAGAAGGGGACAGACTCGAAGAAGACTCAGGAGAGGACACAGGGGACCCAGAAAAATTAGCAGGTGGCATAGAAGAAGAGACAGGAGACATAGAGGGTGAGACAGGATATGAATCAGAATCAAATAAGAATGGAGATAAGGGTTGGGAGGGAGGTACTAATGTTGTATCAGACACAAATGAAGATTTAAAAGGAAAAATGGTCTCATGAAAAACCACATTTCTGGAAATAATGACAGCATTAGATCCGAGATCAAGGACTTTATACCCTTTTATCCCATGAGGATAGCCAAGGAAAACATAAGGTAAGGCTCGGGGACTAAACTTATTCCTGTCTTTTGATAAAGTCGAAACATAGCAAAGACAACCGAAGACACGAAAATGAGAATAAGAAGGAATTTTGCCGGTAAGCATTTCAAAAGGAGATTTGTTTTGCAAAAGTGGAGAAGGGATTCTATTAATCAAATAAACAGAGGTGAGAATACAGTCACCCCAATAAGCCAAAGGAATATTAGACTGAAAAATGAGAGCTCTAGCAACATTAAGAACATGCTGATGTTTTCTCTCAACAATAGCGTTTTGTAAGGGTGTATATGGACAAGAAAACTGATGCAGAATCCCTTTCTTAGCAAACAAAGAAGTGAAACGAAGTTCATGAGCATTATCGGAACGAACACTTTTGATTGAGGCATTGTATTGATTCTCAACAAAAGTAATGAACTCAGAAAATTTTTGCAAAACATCACTCTTAGATTTAAGGAGATAAACCCAAGTACAACGACTGAAGTCATCAACAATTGAAAGGAAAAAGCGATGACCATCAACAGTTGTCTCAGAAAAAGGTCCCCATATGTCAACATGAAGTAACTCAAAGGGAAAACTAGATATATGAGAAGAAACAGGAAAAGACAGACGCCTTTGTTTAGCTAGTGGGCATACAGGACATAAAAGAGAACTAGAGCCATCAGGAGTGAAGGAAATCTGTGAAGACTTGTCAAGGGAATGGACTTTGACATCAGAAGGGTGACCAAGACGATGATGCCAAAGATCAAACGTTGTGGTGGAGAGAGCAGTGCATAAAGTTGTAGACACAGAAACAAATGATGGAGATGTGTGCTGCATATCATAGATATATAGGTTTTGAACTTGTTTACCCTTGACAATCATCAAGCCCCGAGTAAGGTCCTGAATCATATAAGAGTCATGAAAAAAATGCACAGAACAAGAAGGCTGTTGAGATAAGGAGGTGACACTAAGAAGATTATAATGAAATGATGGAATAAACAAAACATAAGATAAGGTAATAGAAGGAGACAAAATAACAGTCCCAGACTTAGAAACCAAAATAGACGTATGATTAGGAAGGGATACAGATACAGCTGCTATGTCATGAATCTCAGAAAACAATTTCAAATCACAGCAAACATGTGTACTAGCTCCTGTGTCCAAAATCCAAACAACTGAGGAAAAGTTCATGAAAGGGGCTGATGTCGAAAAAACAGGATGAGAAATAAAAATACCTGAAGATGGTGGGGTAGGCAGAGCAAGATTTGATTCCATGGAAGAGGGGCTTTGACCCTTTTGCTGAGATAGCAGCTGAGCTAAAAACGAATGAACCTGCTCCAAGGTGTTCTGTCCTGCAGAATCATTAGGAACACCCTTTGCTGAAGCATCAGTAGAAACCAAGGTTGAATCAACCATATTAATCCTGTTCTGCAACTTATCAGAAAACCGAGGTCGAGGTTTAGATCCTGAAGAGCGAGAATTCCAACCAGTGTTTGCCTTATAACCTGGTGGGTATCCATGAAGGCGAAAGCATCGAGAAACAATGTGGCCTGTCATGCCACAGTGGGCACAAACAGGTCGAGGGCGAGGATTTGAAGGAGTAGGGCTAGGATATTTAGAAGGTGGTGTGGAAGAAGGAAAAGAGTAAAAACGGGAAGGATTTGTGGTGGTTTGGAAGGCAACAACATCAGGGACAGTCGAAACATTAAATTTATGTTGTTCTTCCTGGGCAACAAGGTTAAAGACACGAGTAATATCGGGTAATGGGTCAGTCATCAGGATCTGTCGCCTAGCAGACGTAAAAGAGTCATTCAGTCTCATCAGAAAACGGACAACATTTCGTCTCTCAAATAGCCTAGACCACTGGTCACCAATACGACATTTACACCCTCCACAGGTGCAACCCTTACAACAACAGACAAGCAGTGGTTCATAGTGTTTCAGCTCTTTCCACAAGGTATTTAGTTTGGTGAAATAAGTGTTCAAATCAAGAGAACTTTGATAGAGGTTGTCAATCTGGTGTTGGATGCTGTAAATCTTAGAAACATTGGTTTGAAGAAAACAATTTTGGAGATGTTTCCAGATTTCATGAGCATCCTCCATATAAGAAATCAAAGTGTGAATATCCGGAGAAACGGAATTATTCAGCCAGGTACATACAATAGCGTTACAACGCAACCACGAACCTGAATCATCTTTGTTGTCCACTGGCTGCGGCAGAGTACCGAGAATAAACCCAAGTTTATTCTTAGCCAAGAGAGCTTTGTGAACATTGCGCGACCAAACACCATAGTTGGCCTCGCCCCGAAGTTTTTCCGAAACCAGAAAAACACTGGATGAATCCCCAGCATGCAAGAAGAGGGGATCGGAATAAGGATCCCGAGAAATCGAAGAACTCAAGGGAGCAGAGCTCACAAGAGTAGGGCTGGGAATAGAATCCTGAGAACCCGACGGAGTAGTAGTCGCCATAAAAAAACAAAAGAAACTGGAAAAAAAAAGAAATCAGAGTAAGCAAAAAGCTTATTTACTCTCTGATACCATATGGAAACCAGAAATAGAAATGGAAACTTTGCTGAAAATTTTTTTCTTTCTCGATTGATTATTAAGCGTCTCCTTTACATCATTTATATACAGATAAAAATGAATCTAATGCAAAACTAATTTACAACAACATAACAAATTGGAAACAAATTGACAGGTGTCGAAGTTATGACCAAATTAAAATAGCTAAACCAGAATTGGTTTTGATAACCAAAGATGAAATAACCGAGATAACCGAGCCATTTCGTATGTAAACTCTAAGACCTCTCTCGCTTTCCCGACGCCAATTCATTAGCGATCTCTCTCTCACGCACTCTCCGAGGTAACTTCATTGTTCTCTCTCGCTGGTACTCTCTCTCTCTCGCGCTCGATTATCTGAAGCGAAGCTTCCGATTTTAGGGTTTTGTTTTGACTTTGCAGTTATCTGAATCTAATTCCAGGCAACAATTTTTTCTGGTTGGATTTGTCTGGTTTCGAAGTCGGCTGAGGTTCTGAAAATAATGACAAAAACCTAGCTTTCGCAGACTTTGGGAGTAAAACTGGATAGAATTTTGCTAGTCTCCGCGGTGGAGTTAAAGGGACCCTTTTTCTCCTCGAATTGGCGTTGGATGCGCATTTGTTTCGTTGTTTTTTGTTGAAGGAAAACTGTTATCATCTTCATTGTGCTCCCGACTATCTGTGGAATCGAATACTGGGTCGTTGATTTTAGACAAATTCAGATTGGTGGGCAAAGTTCCTTTTTTTTTGGCGGATGAATTGCTTAGGAAATTGAATTGATTACTTCCTTTAGCTGAGCTATGTGGTTTTTGTTTATATTTCCCCTTATTGGAAGGTTGACAAGTTGCTCTCCTGGATTAGCTCTAATTGTCTGCAAGAAAATATGGTACGTTTTTCGTTTCCGTTTTAGGTACAAAAGTGTTTTCTTGGACCATTATCTTCATTCTACCTGTACAATCAACTTACCTACTGTATGCACTTGTGTTGAATTGTTCTGATGCATGTGGATTTTTATGTTCTCAGGTTATCATTTTAGGGTGAAAACAAAAAACTGACGGATCCGGATATCCGGATCTCCGCCTCGTGCGAGAACGAGATCGAGATAATCTTTCAACAGAACTCGCAGATCTGAAGCCCGAAACCGGATACCTTGAAACTCGCAGATATCCGCCCGCGCCCACCCCTACTGGGACCTGATCGAGATAGGTGACAATGGCGGCGGATAAGGAGACTGAGGTGAAATTTCCTGATGGATCGCCCGAGATGAAGCCGAGGCCGATCGTACGGCTGGGAATGTTTCTCATCTCTCACAGCCCTGTTTTCAGTGTGATTTGCTCTGTTGCTGGCATTTTGGTGCTGTTTCTGTTACCGGTGTTGGCGAAGAACACTTACATCTCCGAGAATGCTCTAATGCCAGGTTCTGCACATTCTATGCTCTCTAATCAGGATGTTTTAGATGGCAGTGAATTCGTGATGAACATAAAGGATCTGAGGTTGAAACGTGTTGAAGCCCAGGTGCTCATTGGAGAATATATGTCGAACTTGGGTGCGCAAGTGTATCATCACAAGTTTTTCCCTGAAATGAATCGATTTCACTCGCTGATGAACTCGAGTTCTTCTTCTTCTTATGGCATCAATTCTGCAGGGATCATAAGAGCCCCGCGCGGTGATGGTAAAGAGTGTATTGTTTTGGTTACTCCGTATGATCATACAAATGATGGGAATGATGATGAAGTTTTTTCATTGGGCATTGCGTATACTGTGTTTTCCTTGCTCTCTAGGGTCACCTGGCTTGCCAAAGACATCGTATGGCTTGTTGCTGATTCTCGTTATGGGGATTATAGATCTGTTGATGCGTGGTTGAGTGAATACTATGCACCTTCGTTTAATACATCTGATAACTTCATCCGGGCCGGAACAATGGCTGCTGCTCTCGTTTTGAAGGTTAATGGTAGAGGTGAAGTGTCTCAGGATACGATAAGTATATACGCTGAAGCAGCTAACGGGCAGATGCCGAATCTTGACATCATCAATGTTGTCAATTACTTAGGTGTTCACAGACAGGGTTTCAGTGTAAAGGTGGAGAAAGTTGCATCTTTACTTTCCTCTGGTTGGCTCAAGATTGTTGGGGAAACATTTGAAGCTGCGGGAAAGATGGCTAAGACTTTAAATCCTGATTGGAACTTTGGTATATCTGCAGCAGACTATGTTGAAGGCAGTGCTACACTTGCGAGTTCATTGTACTACCAAGCACTTGGTGTCCCGACTGGTCCACATGGTGCTTTCCGCAACTATCAAGTTGATGCAGTTACTTTGAAATTCACGTCTAGATTTCCTCCTAAAACTAAGCTGAGGAAGCAGCAGGAGTTATTTCTACGAGGTGCCCGAGTAATTGAAGGGACCATAAGATCAGTGAACAACCTGCTTGAGAAGTTTCATCAATCATTTTTCCTATATCTGTTAACTTCTCCGAGTAAGTTTGTCTCCGTAGGGGTGTACATGATCGCATTTGCTCTCCTCATAGCCCCGCTTCCTATGGTTGCAGCTTCTCTATATATGGATGCTTCTAGTACACTTCCAAAAGCCACTGACAAATACGTGCTCAAGTCTTGGATATGGCTTGATGCAGCCAAACGGGTATTTTCCATACACGTGTGGGGTGTTGTTATCACGCTGCTACCATATTTGATACCGGGTCACCACATGGCAGCATGGGTTATCTCTTCTTCTTCTTCGTCTCTAGCCCTTTTGGTAATTCCAGGTTGCTCTCCATTCACCAAGTGGACCATGTTGAAATCAGTGACTATCTCAGCAACTTTTATAGGACTGTGTCTGATGTCTATAGTCAACTTTGCGGCAGCAGAGATAGGAGCGTTGATGCTAGTGCCGATGTGTTTGATGTGTCAGCCTATAAGACAGGATGTGAGATCGAGATCCCCGAAAAGCCTCTTGCGGGCATTATGCAACATGGTTTTGGTGACAACACCGATGGTTGTTTTAATCTCAAAGGGTGGGAGCACGTGGGATTGGGTTGAGTCGCTTTGGGAATGGAAGAGTGCAACTTACCTCTACATAGGTTTGGCTTGCATGCCTTGCTGGTTATTGTGCATCTCCATTTTGCTGCATCCTTGACCGTGTTAGTTAATATCTCTTCGGTCTCCCATTATCATATGCTGTTTTGACACGCGTTTCGTATTAGTTCCTGTTTATGTGTGACCCTCCCGATTTTATGTATGCAACTAAAGGACCAACCAATGCGTCAAAACTCTCTCTTTATCTGATTCCAAGCATGTATATTGATGCCAATCAATAGTCCATGGAAGGAAAACCGTATGTATTTGGAACAAATGATCAGATACGCATTACAACTTGTACAAACTCATCAAAGTACAAAGGAGACGAATCTGCGGAGACAATACCAAATTACTTTGAGAGGAACTTGGAGAAGGATAGAGAGAATTCTGGAAAAGCATTTAGAAAGGTTGATATGAGTTCAGCTGGCACAAGTCCAAGTGCTTTCTGGTGATGCTTCTCCATTAATGATGACAACAGTTTCCAATTATCCACTTCTTCCAGGGAACCTGATAGTGTCATTTTGATAAATTTTCAAAGAAAAAATTGCCCATTCCATAATTTGAACATATCCCTAACCTTTTCGCCTATGTCCTTTTTCCTAAAGCATATCTTCCTGTTCTTTTTTATTTTTATTTTTTAAAATCGCCAGAGGAAAGAGAAGAGTAACTTACCCAAATCAATCTCACGGTCTCCATCTTCTGCATCCCCCTCTTCAATCACTTCATCATCATCCTCCAACGCCGCAGCAGCTTTAGCCTTTACCATACCTTTCCAGAAACTCTTCTTCAGTTTCTGCATTATCGTCGCTCTCTGAATCCTGTTCAAAGACATGATATCTCATGACTTAATTCATGGTATAAAAAAAATCTAACTGATAGAAGATCCACTTCTTGTCTGTTGGAGCCGCCGATAATCAACCACTGTATAGAAACAGGGATTTACTCTTCATATGGGTTGATGTTAATTCTCCTAGATCAAAGATAATAATCTTAAATGTGAGCCGCTATGAGATCATATAATAACTTTTGATGCCACTTCCTCATTGTACAGCCAGAAAAGAATCAACAAACATAGTTTAAAACGATTTTAACCATCAGTGCAAGTAGTAACTTCAAACCTCATCATCGCAATCAGTTTCTTCATCTTCCTTTTCCGCTTCCTCTTCATCAGCCTCTCCATCATCTTCATCATCACCTGTTTCTTCTTGCACTTCCTTTAACTTTAGAGAAGCATCCATCAATGAACCGAAGCAGCTTCTGGCCAAAGCATCCTTAGAATTCATATGGTTTGCATCCAGTAGCCGCTCAATAACCTTCACTAGCGCCATCACTGATGACAAGCAGTCATTTCAGCCTAATTACGTACAGCTGACTAGACAATGGAAGTGTCCAACAAACTTTGAGAAGCATAGAACAAGGAACATATCTACTTACCATACAACTTTAGTTCTGATTCTGCGGACAGACCAGCATCAAAGTCACATGAGCATAGACAAGCCAAAGAGGATACCCATAACTCAAAACCTCCAGACACCACTTTTTCTAAAATGCATTCCACAGAATCAGCGCATAAGATATAACATGATGATATCACCAGCAATAGAGGCCTCCACAATGGACAAGGCTTTTCACGTACTTCTAGAAAATGAGAAAATGCTGCTTCGCAGAATATGACACCCAATGACTGCCTAACACCTTCAATGTCAGATGAGTAGTTTGGAACATGTAGTAATGTGTGCACACATGAGCAAGCCCTATACATGGCAGATGGATACTGGATTATAGCCTTGCTGATAAATGAACCCATGGATTCAATAACAGATTGAGGATGGACTGGCATGTTTGGAGGGGATGGGATCTCTCTAAGTAAGATATTGTTGAAACTATACTTGCTGTTTAAGCCGACAACATCTTCTATGCAATAAAAACTGATAAATCCTCCGACTCTTCCCAGGAATCCCAGCTACTGATAAGTTCAGCCCAAGCTGATAATAGTTCAGATAGTCTGAGTTCCACAAACATATTTCCATCAGTAACAGCGAGTATAACGGAGCGTAACAGATTGGATAAGTGATCTAAGCACGACGCTGGAGGCACGTCTGTCACCTGTCATGCAAAAACAAAGAGCAAAGCTACATCTTGAAATCAGAAGATTCAGATGGATATCATGCGACCCATGTAGGTATATAATTGGCTCCAATTTCCACAAATTCAGATGTGAAACAGTTACTTTTGAGAGACACAAAAGACTGAAAGATTGCAAGAGTGAACCCACGGGTACCAGCCAGGCTTGCTGCAAGAGTGCTGACAGAGCTTTGCTGATGGTGGCTTGACCAGATAGCCAGCTTTCATTTGCTTGATATTTCTTCTCACCCACTTCAGGCTTGGAGCTCTCAAAAGCCTGAGCCATTGCTGCTAATGCCTCAAAGCCACATACAACAATCTAGATTGACAAGATACAGAAAAGAAAAGCAATAACGGTTATATGGTAATGTTATAATATTTTGAGGCCACTACAAATAGTCACCAAAAATGCTTCAAACCAATTTCTAAAACATCCAGGTGAACAACATCTGACATCCAGAAACAAGGCAAATAATTAAATACAGTCCACAGAAACAAGATGGTCAATTTGCACAATAGTAATCTGAAGAAGTGGCAGCCATTCAGGTGGTAGGTAATCATTCTGAAGAGAACAAATATATTGTGTTAGATTAGACATCAGACCTCATCTTCAAGTAAGAGAGCCATTATCAGTACAGCTGCTAAGACTCACCTCAAGTAATGAGCAAAGTGCACCAGCAGCAGATACACGCACAGGGTAATACGAGGTCTCTGCCTTATGCCTACAATAGGGAAGAATAAACTCCTGCCTTCACCACCTGAAGCATAAATCACATAATCGGGGATGAGATGATTGAGTATAATGCTATATATTTGATCACTGATAAAAATATATTGATTTGAATTTAAATGTTATAACGGCACATAATTACTATGTGTGATTTACATCATCAAGAAGAATAATAGATGTATACTTCAGGTAGGCATGAACAAAGCTCTCCCAGCACCCAATTTGCAGATGCAACCAAGTAAGGTGAACATTCAGGAGTGGAATACACTGGCAGCATGCAAGCACGAACCAGAGTCGCAACAAATTCATGACTTTGTTCTTGGATAAACTGCATGTAAAATGCAAAAGATCATAATTGCGTGTAAGGTATTAGTCAATTAAAGAGTACTACAAACAAAGAGGATAAGACTTGCTCACATCTTGCAGGCCGCCATATGCGATTGGGACGCCAAAATAGCTGCAACATGGGATAGTGAAAAATCAGCTAATCCAGGAAGTAGAAAAGAATAAGAAAAGAAAATGAAGAAGAGAAAAAAATACAAAGGAAACACTTCACATTGGCATCGTATAAAAGTTGAACAATAGTGTGTAAGAGGAGGCAATCAATATTTAAGAAATAATAGAACACTATTTTCAGTTTACAACTCAACCATAAGTCATGAGAAAACTGCATAGGAACCTACCCGATGGAAATTCTAGCATTTAATTTGTTGTCCTTTGAGGGTACAGAAAACTTTGACAAAACAACTCCCCCATGGAGCTCTTCTGATTAGTTCTTCTATTGTTTTCACCTTTCTTCCTTTTACATCTAATTGAGGAAGCTGCATTCGAAGTAGATACAGGTGGTCCCTGTAAAAATGAGATCGCAACCCATAAGAGACTTCAAAGAAATAGGCAGGCAAACAAATTATTATACATCCTTAACTTTTCAATCTTTGACATGGAGATGACACCGAGTAAGTTTACAGCACTTTTTCCAGCGGTAAACAAGTCTTCCCTCCACCCAGATATTTCTTCCAGCAAAACGAAGTAAAAGATGTATGTATATATATGTGTGTGTGTGTTTATATATAATAGCTACAGATAGTTACTATTTCCAAACCATAAAATAAACATAAAAACAGCCATAAAGAAGGAAGACAGGGAGACATAAATTTTCATACAATTTCAGATGGAAGGTTTTTCCGTATGAATTCATCTGCATCTTCTTCCCACTCAGAAATGTCCTACTCACAAAAAGAAAAGTAAGACCTGTGAAATTCCTCAATAAGTAAGAGCTCTATTACTATTTACTAAGCAAACTTTGTGACAAAGATTAAATCATAGGAAACCATACGTCCATACCCTCTCATTAAGCACTAGCACTGGAAAGACTGCAGAGTCCAACAAAAAAGAGAAACGCGGTGAAAGCAATCTCCATCCCTGATTTCATTATACAAGTATCTTAAAACAGGAACACTACTTGCAATAAAAATTCTACAACTGATTGTTCTTTATTTTACGTTTTCAGTTCCCCATTGTTTCAAATCTAACAACTTATTGGGCCAGTCTCCAGAACCTGGGAAATGACATCAAAAGCCAGAGAGATGACCCTCTCAGGCAGGAAGCCAAGGCTCTGCAGAGGAAAAAAGGTTCTAATAATATTTAGCCATAAAAGAAATTATTGATTATGTAGCTAAAAGCAGTTCACCAGGGACGATTTCTGGGAATCTTTTTCCTATTCATGTATAGATTGATAGGGAGATTTGAACAAGTCGCACATACACCCTTTTATTGAAATGCTGATGAAAATATTCATATTCAACAACTACATTGGTAATAACATATTGAGAGATTAACTTTTAAGGAAAACTCTTAGCATATGCTGGCACAAAGATTTGAAGGACAACTTCCAATCAGTCACAAAGTGGAAATCTAATACAGACTCACTCACAATGATATTTGAGCTATGTCTGACAATCTTCAACAAACAGTCTACTATATCTGACATCAACCTGTAAAGTAGAGACCTGAATAAGAATAGCACTAAACATCAATTTCCGACGTGCTAGGAATATCTTTATGGTTTTTACAAACCTGTTAGAGTACTTCCTGTGCCTTGTGACAAGAGCACTGAAAATAAGCAAACTTCTCTTTCCAGTTTTCAGTCTTAGCATATATCCGTCGGCAGAATTAACATTCTGATCAAAACTCAAGGATTCCAGAACTCTTATCATATCCCGACTGAGCGAACCAAGCAGAGGAGGTAATGCAGACGGCATATGGGACCTTAACTATAATGCTAGAAACCGGTTAATATGAAGGCCAATATGAATGACATGAGCATGACAAGAAATAAGAAAATCCACCCGAGGTTAATTAACAAAGGCAACCATCAACGGTCCTCCATCGATCAACAGAAGTCTATACGATGATTAACAGTACTTGACCCTGTTGAAAATAAACATTGAAGGTGTGACTTACTGCACAATATAAGCATTTGCATATGATATGAAGGATTTTCTCTGTTTCCAGTTCTTTCCTTCCCTGGGTAGTCAAAGCCTGTTGTGCAGCCAAAAAATGTGTGTAGGCAAGTTGAGATTCAGTGTTGAAATATGCTATGCATAGCATGTGAGCAATGACAGGCATGGCATGGAAACATTAAGTTGACAGATATAACCTTTTCTACGAAAAGATGGAATGCTGGCACCAAGGGTACTAGAATTCCATTTGTGATACTCTCTAGCTGTTGTGGTACTGGCTCCTTGGAAACTTTAGGGGTCAGAAAGTACTGAAAAGCAAACACAAGAAGCCAACCTCATTATGAGGGACCCAGCATGGCTTCTACATAGAAGGAGGACAACTTAATCTATACCATTAATGCTGATTTAAAGTAATGTCATATAGAATTAAGTTTAAGATTATTATATGTATGCCTAGAGACACATTGGGTACAGTTTTTCAACTCAGCGACAATTCACAAGCCATAAGAGGACAGGAGAACTGAACAATGACGGATAGGGAAATATTCATCTATCAGCCATAAATATTTATCTGTAAATAAAGCTCATAACATCCTAAATATATGTTTCATCTGTTTTACATAAGGTGAGCAAATGCAATATATACCTGGAAAGGCTTTACAACTGTCAACAACACCATCAAAGCATTCACGGTACTCCATTTGCTGTTTGAACTACTGCTTATAAGATTGCTGTTCTCAATAGCAGAACGCAATTCAGGAACAAGTTGAGGCCAAGAATTTTGCTTAACAAACTCTGCCACAATAACAGATCGGAGCTGTACACGAATGAAGGAGAGTAAATCGAGACTCGCAATCAAAATCTTAAAAATGGTGATAAAAGAATTTCACAAAAACAATGTGAAGAGAAGTTCGATAATATGCATACCACTTCAAGCAAAACTTTAAGAACCGTAGGCTCCACCTGGAGTAAAGCTTGAATGAGCTGATCCTTGAACTCCTTGCTGACTTCTGATGTTGTCCCTCCTGTGCCGATGCTCCGTCTGGTGAAGTTCTTCAGATATGTCGCAGCAGCAACCCTGAGACTAGGATTCTGACAACCTGTTGGATAAAAAATTTGCATCAACATCAAGTTCAATAAGAAATCTGGATAGAAAAAAGAAAAAGAACAAGAAATTTAGAAGGCATAACATGTTAGCGACTATTTAGTTTATTCTAACATAGTAATTTCTACTTTATCTTCCTCAAGCAAACTTCAAATCAAGTAAACACTTGTAATTTGTAAACATGACTTAAGATTGATATTTGCATTGTAACAAATGCTCCAGAACTAGATTTAAATCAATGGATGGAGTGAATGCAAAAAGGAAAACAAATAGTATTATAATGACTGAGCTGTACAGCAACTATAGTATTATAATTCATTCACCTTTAACCAAAAAAAAAACAAATAGAAAGTATAGTGCATGGTGGGTGTAAAAATCGCATGCTTAACATCTTTTTTTTTTTTGGTTAAAAGTATGCATGCTTAACATCTTAACTAAACACGATATGAAAATTTGATGCCACAGGAAATTCCCAAGATTTCACATCTGCTTAATTGTTCATGACCAATGTTGGCATTGCTTTATCCCACCACCGCCTGGATAATACCTAACCCAGCTCAAAATAAGCAAGAGTTTCGTAATTACAGTTACTATTATCGCAGTAAAAACACGTACACGACATTGAATCTTGAAGAATCTTATGAAGTCAATGAAATTCGAGCATGGGAGCTTGTTTCAAACCAAAAGATCTAAAATTGAGTATAAATCGAGTTAAACAAGAGATGGGGCATGATTAAACCAAAGAGGTCGAAGACGGGCTTAGTGTGATAGAAGGAGAAGGAGAGGGGCATACCAGAGGCGACGGAGAGAAGAAGAAAAGGGAAGTGAGGGAGCTCCAGAGAGAGACGATCAAGAGACTCCGTGGCCGTACGGACGGCGGTTCCATCGTCGGGGGTGAGAGTCTGCTGCAGAAACCCAGCAATCCAGGATGCTTCCTCCGACATTCGCGCTCTCGAGGGAGGACACAGAAACGGCGCGGGAAATGAAGATGGATAAGTGAGCAGAGATTTGGAAAGCCCATTATAAAGGCCCATGCAATACAGAATAAGGCGGTTCCATTTTGGGCCAACACTGAACATTTTTTTTTATAAAAAATACGATCAAATATGATGATTTTTATACAATGCATTTTTTTTTTTTTGATAATTCGGAAGTTCACCGGTCCTTTTGCCCGACTACATCTTCCAGAGGACCGGGTGTTGGAAGCATTCTTCGTCCAAACCCGCTGATCCGTTTGGAGGCTTCCAAAGCCTCGGAATGAAGCAGAGTCTTTAAGGGGTATTTTGGGAAAAGTGTAAGGGACGCGTTATGAGTCCTAGGGTTTTCGGTTTCAGAATACTTTGCGTTTTTCGTCTTCTCTCTAGGGTTTCTCTTCTCTCTCTCTCGGCGAACTTTGGTTCTCCGGTTGCACTGTAGTCGACTCCGGTCGATTCTCCGGCGTGTTTCTGTGTTGTACTTAGCAAATAGAGGTTCCCTCTTCCCGAGACGTAGGTATCGAGTATTAGAGCTCGATACCGAACTCGTAACTCCGGTGTCTCCTTTCTTTTCTGTTCTCGGCACGAACGTGTGAATCGGAGAGGACATTGGTGAGGTATTCGAGAGGGTAAATCCTCTACAAGTAGTATCAGGAGCCCGGTTGCGAGGCAGGGAGTGGCGGACATCGACGGCGAGAGGTGGTCGAGGTAAGTCCGAAACTCTGGGTTTAGGTGTGAGCGTTCTAACGGTGTGTGTCGAGTGTTTCAGGGTCGAAACGTCGAAAGGAGTCTTCTCGTGGGGAGATCGGCAACGTACATCGGCGGCGGCGCTCAGATCCGGTGGTGGAAGAGAGGTAAGGTTCCGGATCTAGACTCGGACTGAGTCACACAGTCGAGTTTAGAGTCCAAGGAGGTAAGATTACCTGGTTTAGTGCTAGATCTAGGTGCGGGAAGGGAAAACCGGTGAAAAACCGGCGGTTCTCCGGTGAAATCAGTCGTGGCTCACTGAGTCACGTCTGAGTCGGAAACCGGGGTGAGTCAACCACTGTGTTGACTCGGGTTAACTCGGCTACCAAAGCTTCCGAATTAGGGTTTGTTGGTTTAAATCCGGTCTAGCCGGTTTAAATCAATTTGTCGGATTAAACCGAATTCGATTTTAGATCGAACCGGTTTAGTCTAGGTAAGTCAAGGTGTTGACCAAAGGTTGACTGGGTTAGGAAAACCGGATCGGTTCAGGTCAATTGGACCGGTTCAGGTCCGGTTTGGGGTCAATTGGACCGGTTCAGACCGGTTTGAGTCCATTTAGGTCCGGTTCAGGATAACCAGACCGGTTTAGGTCAATCTAGGACCGGTTTAGGGCAATAGAGTCCGATTTAGGTCAATTTAGATTGGGATTGGGCCGGTTTAGGTCTGATTAGGGTCTGATTTGTCCAAATAGGGTTGGGTTTGTCTAGTTTAGGGTCTGTATTGACTAGAAAAGGTCTAGATTGGTCGGTTTAGGATCAGGATTGTCTGATTAGGACTTAAATTGGTTGGTTTTAGGTCTGATTGGTTCGATTGGGTTAGATAGAGTCCAGTTCTTAGGGCATTCTGTCTGGTATAGGGTATTTAGGATCTGTATAGGTCGATCTATCCTAGGAAGAGGCAGATTAGATCTGCGGTAGACTTTGGTTACTTGTCTTTAGTCATAGAGTCCGGTAATTCTGTCCGGTTAGGCCTGAATAAAAGGATTTGGCTAAATTAGGCGATTAGAAGTCTGTATTAGGCTTGAAATCAATAGGTACAGGTCTGTTAGGGTTGATTTTAGGCTAGATAAGGTCTGATCAGATTTAATTAGATCGATTTAGACTTAGTTTAGATCTGATTAGGTTAATTCAAGTCTGATCAGGGGTAGGTAAGTCAATATTGGGTTGGCTTAGGTCTGATTAGGACTTAGGGGGACAGAATAGACTCGGTTTAGGTCTGATCTAGGTTGGTTAGGTCAGTGTTAGCCTTGGGGTAGGTCTGATTAGACGTAATCAGGTCTTAGGTAGGCAGGTTTAGAGTCTATTAGGTCTGTTAGATTGAAAAATACCTAGGTTTAGGTCCTCTTATGATCGGTCTTACTCTCTAGGTCAGGTTTTAGGTGCTCCTAGGGTCGGGTTAGTCATTCCCAGGTTAGTTTCGTTCTAGGTAGGTCTAGTGCATCCTCGGGTTAGAGATTAGGTCTGATTAGTGATGTCTGCCCCTCTGTATCGCGGTCTTGACGTCGAGAAGTTCGACGGCAAGGGAGACTTCTCCTTATGGAAGGAGAAGATGTCAATTAGCTTAGAGATCTTAAGGTTAGGGGACACACTAGAGGATGATCCATCTACATGGGGGGTTGCTGATGATGGGAGCCCACAAACTCCAGCTCGGGAAACCGAGGATTCGGGAGGCCTTACGTCTCTTTCCACCGGGTCACTAGGACCTGAGGCTAAGAGATCGGGCACTCCGGCTCTCAAAGAGAGACAAGAAAGGAGTAGAAGGGCTAGGAACCTCATAGTGCTTGCTCTACGGATCAAGTTCTAAGGAAGGTCATATCCGAAAGGACGGCATTCGGAATCTGGAGGAAACTAGAGCGGTTGCACATAGAGCAATCTCTCCCCAATAGGATGTACCTCATGCAGAGGGTGTCAGGGTTTAGGATGGACAGCTCTAGGACAATAGAGGAGAATTTAGACATTTTCCAGAAACTATTGTCCGACCTTCACAGCCTAAACGTGAAGGTAGAGGAGGAGTATCAAGCAGTTTATCTGCTGAACTCCTTACCTCCTGCTTATGAGCAGTTGAGGGAAGTCCTGAAATATTCCCGAGCTAGAATCTCGGTGGAGGAGGTGAAGGCCGCAGCTAGGATGAAGGAGCTAGAGCTTCTAGCTCAGGGTACCCTTACTCGGGGTACGGGGGAAGGATTAGTGGTCAAGGGCAAACCCGAGAAATTGGGTGGCGGGAAGAAGAAGGCCAAAGACCAGGTGGAGTGTTGGTATTGCGGCAAGAAGGGACATTATAAGAAGGAGTGTAGGTCCCGGAGGGCGAAGGAGGAGACCGAGGGTAAGGGGATAGTAGCCTCGGTTCAGGAGTATGATTCGGAGGTACTTCTAGTATGCTCCGACTACTCCTCGGGTGGAGGTTCGAAGGTGAGGTCTCCACGTCTAGGTGGAGTTACCTCGGGTAGGAAGCTCAGGGGAAAGGGCGAGCGAGGGAATGCCGGGGCACCGGGTAGAGTCGGTGAGGGTAATAGCGCTAGGGGTATTTCCTCTCGGGGTGGAGCACGTGCTTACACGTGTTCTGAGCCTTCGGTAGAGTTCCTATAGGTCGACTCTTCACGGGGTAAAACCCGTGGGGGCACCTTAGTCGGTAGGTAGGGGTCTGGGGTAGAGGTCATATGTCGCTTGATCTTTACGGGGATCAAGAGTTAGGTGTGTTAATATGACTCAAGGTTAGTCTCGGGGCAGTCGGGGTAGACTCGGGGGACGGGTAGATGTCAGGACGTGACCCTCGGGGGGCCATAGGTGAGGTATAGACTTCACCGGAGGGGGTCATTTAGACGGTCTAGGGAGTCATACTAGTCTAGGTCTTAGGTAGTCTTCGGAAGCGGAGGTGTTGGGGGACACTCGCTCCGGTAGGCTAGGTGGGTCGTGTCACGCTGAGACGTGTTTATGACACGCTCGGTAAGAACTCCTCTAATAACGTTGTTCCAATGCGCCTTGGATCATGCCGGGAGGTGGAGTTAAAATGGAAGTAAAAGGGGAACTTAGCGTGCTAGGGATGTTTGGCGTGTTTGCTTCATATTTGTTTTGCAGGTTTTGAAGAAGAAGGTGGAGATTTGTTGGAAGCATTCTTCGTCCAAACCCGCTGATCCGTTTGGAGGCTTCCAAAGCCTCGGAATGAAGCAAAGTCTCTGAGGGGTATTTTGGGAAAAGTGTAAAGGACGCGTTATGAGTCCTAGGGTTTTCGGTTTCAGAATACTTTGCGTTTTTCGTCTTCTCTCTAGGGTTTCTCTTCTCTCTCTCTCTCTTGGCGAACTTTGGTTCTCCGGTTGCGCTGTAGTTGACTCTGGTCGATTCTCCGGCGTGTTTCTGTGTTGTACCTAGCAAATAGCGGTTCCCTCTTCCCGAGACGTAGGTATCGAGTATTAGAGCTCGATACCGGACTCGTAACTCCGGTGTCTCCTTTCTTTTCTGTTCTTGGCACGAACGTGTGAATCGGAGAGGACATCGATGAGGTATTCGAGAGGGTAAATCCTCTACATCGGGGAAGCCCAGGTGAATGCCCCTCCCCACGCTTGGATTTGAACCCAGGACGAAAGCATACTTTGCATGTTCTCTCACCATAGACCATCCAAGCTTGGGTTACAATGCATTTGTGACCATCATTACGGTAACGCATTGCTAGCTTTCACGGTTCGTGAGAGCAAACTCATCCGTCACTTATGACGATATGATATTATACATATTATTCCAAAGAAGATTATTGGATAAAAATTTACAAAACTAAAAGCAATCTAAATCCAACATCATCATGATTACACACGTATAAGTTTGTCAAGTAATCTAAATTTGGTTAATTCAACTGGTGAAACGAAGACGTTAAACGTCTCTTTCGTCCCGAATTCGAATGTCAAATTTAGGGAGGTAGTGTGTATATTGCAAATCATCTGACTGGCTTTAGATCCGAGATTAATTTAGACCTTAGTTCAACACATTGGCGGACCTACGTTAGAAGAAGTGGGGTACTGACCCCACTATTTTTTTTTCTTTTAAAAACATTAGTTATAAAATGTAATAAAATTTTAAAGAAAATACGTTAATAT